ATCTGCTGAATCAATGTCTCAGGCAAGTTGATCCTGGCCTCAGCAAGCAGAAAACAAGGAGGCAATTAGAAATGGAACCTATTCTTGTGCTGATCGGTGAGGCGAGTCAGATACTGACTCTGAGATGTCGGCCCTCCAAAAGGCGTTGCAAAGCTCTGGCAATTGGAGAGACCCAGCACCCTGCAGGGGAACAACTTCTGCCAACAGTAAGCATGCAAGGCTTGGAACCAGGAGAATCAAAGGGTTCTCGACTTGCGGAGCGGGTGGCGATGTCTGTCGTGCAAGTGGTGCAAGCGGTGGTGTTGATTACCACATCTCAAAACCACAGCCATCATGGACTTCAAGCCATCCCAAGGCCGTCGGTTACGGAACACTATGCAACCAGTTGCAAGTGCAAGCACTCGGCTTCGCCATCCTAAGGACCTAGAGCAGCAAAGCTGCCTTGTTGTCCAGGCTGCAAAAGGCGGTCTTCATCTCCTGGAAAGGCTTTGCGCCAACAGGCTCTCCCCCAAGGCAACTAGCTCCAATGTGTGGCCTTCAGGAAAACCATCATGCTGCAGAACTGCTCGAAATTCCTGATCAGAGCATGGCTCAGCAAAGCCCATGATGCCCCAGAAACTTTGAGGCTGACCCAAGGATGCACTTCTGGCTCGCCGGTCCCCTACCCGAAACTTCTAGAGCTGGGCGGCAGAAACAAGCTGCCCTGACCAAAGCGGATAATGAGCCGCTCGCACCTTGACAAGATTCGAAGGCATACTACCGCCATCTTAGACCTAGACTTCGTCATCACGGGCAAGGCTCAGACACTTCAAACACTTCTGAGGCCGGCACGTGTTAAGAAGGAACGGCCTGTGACGGCCAAACCTGGACTGGCAAAGCCGCACAATGTGACAAGCGTCTTTAAGGTTGCGTTGCCTTTGATGGGAGGTCAAGGGATTCTGGCCAGTTCCTGCTCATTGGGTTCGGCTCGAATTTCACTTGAGATACAGGACAAATTGCAATGACTGCACCTTCCTGGAGCGCCTCTAACAACGCAGCCGAAGCATGCAGCAGGCAGGACATGCAAATGCATCCGCGCATCATTGCGCATCCGTTTGCACTCAATGCTTACTACACACGATGCTAGATCATATCCCAGGTCACCTCTGACTGAACACATCTCGCTTGTCCTGCAATACAGGAGCCATTGCAGCAGAACAAGCCGAAATATTCTCAACCAAGCAGACAAAACACGAACAAGAACACTTCTCAAACCAACAGCTGACCAATAGCGCGCACAAGAAGACCGACAACTTATCCTCACGAATAGACGCGCTTGTGTTTTGAAAGAGGCTGGGCGCCAGGCATGGAAGCATAGAAGATGCCCTGTGTGTTCATGCTCGCCCTTAATTCAGTCAGTAGTCAGTAGTTGGACTTTGCAGCAGCTGTTAAACAAGGCGCAACCATCATGCATGCTCAGGGCTCGGCAGGCCAGTGGTCCCAATGATGGTGCCCAATGGCTCTAGCGATTTCTTTATTTCTTCCAGCCTGGGTGACAACATCAACTGACTCTCAGTGACCACAAATGTCAGCCACTGGGGCTCCTGCACCTGCAAGAGCTGATTTGGAGCAATCCGCGCCGCGCCTTGTGTCTGCATGTCCTCGGAAGCCGCAGAACGGGCTGCATAGCTACAGTCCGGATGGAACTGCCAAGGCCCATGCCCATGCAGCAATGTAAAAGTCCTCGGCAAGAATCAGCTGGAACCAGACTCTCGACACAGGCAGCACCGACGCCGGAACGGGCAGCCAATCACCAACGGTTGGACAATAAATCTATGCCCTTTGCACAACCAGCCTCGACGAATCACTCTTTCGCAATACCGAGCGCATGCACGCATACATGCCTACTACCATATACATATGAATCACAAAAGGTTGCGTAGCACTGTACACGCAACGTGAGCCACCCGACCGGAGGTTTGCAGCCTGGGCACCCATTCCAGTCGCATCTGCACAAACTCGTCAAACTCAAGGCTGCCGTCTTTGTCACTGTCGAAGCTTTGGCCAACCTTGCAATCCATACAAACAAGCACTGGTCCCTTTGCCAACGTCGCAGGCTTCAAGTCGCTGCACGTGCCTCCGCAATGATTGCAGCTTCCAGGTTCACTCCTGCAAAGTCGAGGACTCTGAACTGAACAGAGCACAAACGTTTTACATCGCTAACAAAGGTGAAGTTGATCTGCCACTGTCGGGTCCTGACAATTGAAATGCCCGGCGAAGCTCTACGAACCTGGTACTGAGCAAGGGGTTATCTGGATGATTCATGGCTTCGCCAGCACGAAGCTCACAAGCAAGCCAGATCAACTTCTAGACTCTAGACGGACAAGTAAGATCGACACTCGATAGCGCCACTGCGGTCTGCGTCAACCTGCTGCCAGTAGCCAGCTTCAATTATCTTCCGAATACGTGTGGGAACTGGACACGCGAGAATGTTGGGCTGCGGGAGTCATTTATGCGCCAGGCTCGCAAATTTGCAGGCGCCTGGAGGAAGATCGCCTTCAGGTTGGCCCTGGCTCATGCGAGGCGGCGCAAGCTGCGAAAGCCAAGTCGTCCAACAGCGGCCAGCTGCCAGCTGCATGAATGCGTCTCTGCCAGCTGAGGCAGGATCAGATAGTCCATCAGCTCGCACCACTGGTTCAGCACCAACCTGCCAGCTCTAAAATTCGAACCTCGTCGACTACCCAGACCGTATTCCACAGAAGAGACTTTGCGGATACCTGAAACGCTCGTCCAAGCTACTGCCACTGAGCCCTCAGGTTGCGTCTTCCAATTAATCTGCGATGCGCGCTAGATTTTTGTCCAACCCTCTCCGACGCCGGACAGAATCTCCACCTGTTCTGGCTTCCAAATCTGGCCATCAACCAGCAGCATGTGGAAACCTTCCGCATAATCGTGTGCTTCTCTTGAGGGTGTGGGACATGATATGACACAAGTTCGAACTGTCAGTGGCCCAGTTGCCAAGGCCTGAAAGCTCCTGTGCAGCAAGCTGTGTTGCGTTCCAGCCTGACCAGTCCCCCCGAACTTTTCTTGCTTCACTGGGCCTGTTAATCGACTGGCACGAGATTCCTGCTCAAGTTTATCTGAATGCGGCGGCCAGGTGCAGCAACCAGCTCGTTCCAGAAGCGACATAAACCTCAGGAATTCCTGCCTCAACGGTCAGTTTCACGAAGTTCAAGGCATTGGAAAGCCTGGCAGTCTTTAGACTGCCAATCCCGAACAGCGCCCGTGAAGAGATGCGAAAAAAACTGTAGGCAATGTGGGCAGTTCATTACACTTAACATGCAATGGCGGCCCCTGCACATCGATGAAACCCTGCACGCCAGCAAACTTGGCGAACCTCAGGAGCTCTGGAGAACATATGCCAGCTGCCAACATGCTTTCCAGGAACTGCTGAGCTGCAAGCGCTTCCCTGAACTCTGGATTGGACAGGCGGAATTGCTTTGCCGCCGGATCCTGCGTGAACTGCGAGTGTCATCTGTCCATTCGACACTTCGAAAGCTGTCTAGGTCTCGCCTGGTCTGCGTCACTGAACAAACCGCGCTTCTTGGTTGGCGACAGTGGGGACAGAGAAGGCGAGCCTCGGGATAGCTCGGGGCCACGCCAGTACTCCCCGATAACGCTTGCACACGGTGTTCTGCTCCGAGTATGTTAATCTGTTTGAACACTGTAGAACTCGTCGGCTCCGTCATGAGGCACCCACTGTACGGTGATCCTTGCTGCATGCGTTCTTGTGCACATCAAACCTGAGCACTTGGTGGCCGTGCTGTCTCAACAGGAATGATGGTCGATGCCTGGCAGCTGCAAACGGCGCCCCGAGGGATGGCAAAGAGCTGGAGTTCATGTTGGGCAGCGGCAGGATACGACGGAAGCTGCTCGCGCAACTGCACAACAGAAGCGTAGCAGCACGGAACCTACCTCTCGATCCTTCGTTGGCTGCCCTTGTCGCGGCCAGAGTCACGCGTCTACTGGCACTGCGGCCTTTGGCCTTTGGCCATTGGCCGCTGCCACGAAAGGCTAGGCAACACCTGATACTTAAATAGCTTCTATGGTGGAGCGGGTGCTGATTGCATCGAATGTAATTACTACACGAACAACTCATGTCGTTTTGCCGCGTGCTACTGCCGCTGCTGCAAACCCGAGCAGATTCTGATACTACAGAGTCTGCCCCACTGTGCAAATCACTTCGGTGTTGAAGGTGGCCTCAACCAGATTCGCAGTGATTGAAATTGGGCGGGTCTATCGTGTCGCTGCTGTGCTGCAACGGTCCACAGCCGTCGTGGCTTCAAGTCGCTCGAGAATCATCCGGGACTTTGAGCAGCTTGACATTCCATGCGAGGCAGTTGCAAGCAGAAGCGCTGACTGCGCGGCGCTGCTGCACCACTCTCGTGACTCCAGGGTACCTGCCACTGCGTCCCATCCTTTATACTCGGTGGAAGGAAAACTGCGCGGTGCCTGCGGACCTTCCCGAAAGCTGGAAGCAGAAGCGTCCTCAGTCAAGAAGACTCTGACTCTCGGGTTACGCGGGTCGACGCGCCTGGCCTCGCTGCGCTGTCTTGCTCCTGCCTGCCTGAGGCATCGGCGGAGAAGCGGGAGCTCGCCCGACGGAGACTCTGTCGACCACGGCCTCGGGGAATTGCGCAAGTGGCTCTGGCAAGGCCTCAAGGCAAGCAGCGTCACGATGACACTCGGTCCCGCGCGAGCCGTAATGCTCGCCTCCTCCTTCCGAGGCCATGGCCCGAGAACGCCAGCGAAATCAGGGAACCAAGACAGCAGCTCCTGTTGAAGCTTGCGGCGCTGGACGATCATTGCATGGATCTGGTCCTCAGCTGCAAGGCTTGCCCACATCAACCTAGCTCTCGCGAGCCAGCGGTCTTGCAAAAAGTCTGGGCTCATGGCACGGTAGTCCGAAGCCTGGCGAACACAGTGCATGCAGGGCAACGAACCACATTCACAGTGCCCTCTCAAGACCAGAAACGGTCACGCCACAAAGCTTGCAACACTGGGCAAGGCAGTACATGCGAGTGCATGCGGTAAGCACAACCCAACTTGAACGAGCTGGCATGAGCACAAACGTTGGAGGCCTTAAGCTTTGTGATATCGCTGATTGGCATCCGAATCATCTTGTCACATCTCAGTGGAATGGATTCAGACTCGTGTGCACTGTGAGACGTGAACCAGAACAACCTCACCATTCCAAAGTTTGCCGAACTGCTCAGGCTGCATGGACCTAGACGGCTTGCAGGCTTGATTCTTGCAATCCTGAGTCCTGAACAGAGGCTCGGCCTCCTGCCAGCAACAAACAGCTGTCTCAAGCATGTCTTCCAAACTCTTCACTGTCACAATATACGGCCATCGCACACTCTGCAGGATGCTTGCGACTGGTATGCCTGCAAGTAAAACTTTTCCAGGAAGACATCTTGGAGAGCAGTCTCCGCTGAAGGCCTACAAGCGAGGCGGTCAGAGACTGCAGGATTCTGCAGAGAGATGTGCGGCCATCCAGCACCTTCGCTCTGGGTTGAACTTGAGCAGGTTCAAGGTCAGGGTCTTGGCCTGCAGAGACTCTGAGCCTAAACCGCGTCGCGTGCAATGAGAATATCACAGTGTATATCACGTCGCCGACACGCGTTCTGCTTCTTAGCCGGCCTGTGCCGGGAGCTTCAGGAGGAACAGCACACCGGAACTGAGTCGAACGTGAAGGTACATTTCGACTTGCACATCACTGATTCCCACATGGAACAATCCAGTACCATGCCTGGAACTATCCGATACATGAGTGTGAATATGCGTTGTTGAGGGGCGAGCGATGGCATCTGGCGCACATTTCCAAGATTCTCCAACTGGGCAATGCGAAAGAATCGAGAACCCTTACACATCTGCTCCCAGGATCCTACAAGAGGTTTCGCGCTTCAAGCGTCCAGGCATAGCCTGAGAGGCCGGCCATCGTACGAGCCTGACGGGTCTGTAGCCGAAGCTTCGGCTGAGAAATGAAGCACAAGAGCCCTGGCCGCCCTAGCCCTCAAAGCGATGCTCTTCCCAAGGAGCAAACGTACTGGGACGTCGTGGTGATGGGCCCTGAATGTCGGGTCGCAGAGACTGCACAGACGGGGGCATGGGCATTTTCTGCAACTGAGCCCTCTGCGCAAGTCCTGCTCGCTTGGCTTCCCAGTCCTGGGCGGGGTCTCTGCTCTCTTGAAGCTGTTAATGGCATCGCTCCAGCACTTTCCTAAGCTCCACGCAGTTCGACGACCTGACAAGCGAAATTCGGGCCGCGCCCAGGATCTTCGAAAAGGCGGCACGGCCCTTGCGAGCACCTTCTCGAGCTGGTCCATGGTAGACCTCGTGAAAGTGCGCAAAACAAAAACATGTAACATCTATGCGGACAATGCCCAAGACTGGGAGCTAACCCGTTTCAATCCTGGTCTTATCACATGCAATCGGGCGATCGTCTGCATTGTCGGTGGGCAGTCTCAGAGCTGCGGAAGGCGCGCCTTCCCCGAAGGATGGGCTTCCCAGAAACCTCCGCATCACTTCCGCGATACTCTCCAGCAAGTGCAGCGGAAACGGTCTTTCTGGGCCCCAAGCCATTTCTCCAAGAATGCAGCCGACGCTCCACATGTCGACCCCCTGCAGTACAACAGCTGATGACACTTGTTCTCGTTCGCACCCTTTTTGCAGCTGGGCCTCGAGTGTCAGCCTGTTCACACCTTCCCTTCTGAGACGTGCTAGGTTCGAATCTACCCAGCATGCTAATCGGAAGATGCTTAATTACACACATCCCCGAAACACAGGACAGCAGATGCACCTCCGAGTAGAGGGTGGACCCGAGTAGCAGCTCAGGCGCTCGATACCAGCCTGTGTTGCGGTCTCTGGACCACGCCTGGGCACACTCGAACAAGTGTGGCCAAGCCCACGGCGAGTGGCCACATAGTCCGTCAGCAATGGCAATGCCTGCCACCGAGGCCAGAAGAAACTCCGTCGTCTTGCGGCTCTTGATGTTGTGATGTTGTGCCGTAACGGAAAGCTTGCCAAGAAAATTGAATTTGAGGAATATTGAATATTGCACTTCCCCTACCGCACTTTTGCTCATACAAACGATGGTCGCGTGCGTGGTGTCTCTGGCTGAGCAACCGAAGTTTCAAGCCAGCACTGGACGACAGACTGAAGAAATCTCTTGCTTCCGATTCTGATGCGTGGGGGCGGAACTTGGCAGGGCAAGGCCTCGTCGGCCGCAGCCGAGTTCCGCCGCCTAAGCCCGGAATGACCCAGACAGTTTCAAATACAGGGAATGCAAGGAATGTCACCTCCTTGCTTCTGCTGCCAAAGTGCCCGGTGGCTTGGACCTCTGCGGGTAAGGCCGTCCTCGCCAAGCCTCCAGTTGTCCATTGAAGCATAAAACCGGCTTCACTGCCCCATGCCATGCAAACGCTGCAATCACAAGAGGACTTCCACTCAGAAGCAAGCCAAAGTCGCAAAGACGCACGTGGCAGTTCCTGATCGATCTTGTTCCCACGCAAGGCTTGCAGCTTACAGGCAGAAACTTCTGGCCGGCATCCTGAGGCCCTGTCGAGTTGAGCAGCACATTGGCTGGCTTGAGATCTCGGTGCAAGACCTGGCATTTAGACGACGCAGACTTTCTGACTCTCCTCTCAGTCGCGAGTCTCCTAAGCTCCCGGGCTCCTCCGGAGTGGACGTACTTCAAAGCCTGGACAAAGCGGCCAGGTCCGACGGTCGGAGAAAGCCTGCGCTCTGCTGGTGCCTTCAGGATCTGATAGGTTACATACTCCACATGGATGGGCTGCAACCTCCAGTCAAACTCGGAGCACCTCTCTTAGGGCAAGGATCAAGAGTGCTTGAGAATCTTGCAGGTTGGCTGCGATGGCTCGCTGGAGATCCGACCTCACTCGCATAGGCCGTCATGCTCGTCGCAACAAGTTAGAGGATACGTTGAGGCGAGGATTACCTGAACCTGAACTAAGACACAGACTCCATGAAATCGAACATCACGTACAGGTCCTGCATTGCTTGTAGCCAAACTCAAAACGTTGTTGACAACCGCTCGTGAAGGAAAGCAGCTGGCTGGAGCTTAAGTACCAAACGGATCGTGGCGCGGCTTTCAAGTGTCTTAGCAAATTCAGCTGCTTGCCACCACGTCTGCGTCCTGGCTGCTTTCTGCCTTCAGCACCTGGGCTCTGCAGACGAAGCGAACACGGGCTGAGTCACTGCTGCACGGCCGACGCAAGCCATCCTGAAGCCACAAAATCACCCAACACTCCAGCGAGAATGGCTGCGTGGCTTGGAGCAGCACGTGCATCAGCCGGACAATGTTCTCGTGACCGTTCAACTCCTCGAAGCGGCTCGAACTCGGTTCAATTCGGTTCATCTCGGTTCCCGCGGACCATCACGCAACTTTAAAGCACCGCCTGGAGGAAGATGATCTCGCGGAATGTGCGCTGAGCATCGGTGGAATTCTGAAAGGCATCGAAGCATTTCTTCAGTGCAAAGATCCTCGGCTGGGTGAAAGAAGAAGACACCGAAAAGCAGAAGTCAAGGCAGGCCTGCCGGTCTCTTTCTCTTTCACTTTCCAAACCTTCAGAGCTCTGATCTGTGACATCTGACACTCTGCGAGCTCATGCTCGGGTTAAGGAGCCTTGCTGTGTCGCTCGACCTGGTCTTCCTGAGCACCCAGCGATGCCATAGGCGCCTTTGCCGAGCAGCCGGACCTGGAACTGCAACCAACGTTTGGACGTCTGGACACATGGGGCAATAGGAGGGAGGCCGCCGAGTTGGGTGCCAACAGCTCCCTCACAGAACCAAAGGCTCATGTGACAAAGGCATCCCTGCTGTGAACCGGGCCACGTCAAAGCGCTTTAGGAGGTGGGCATCAGGCAGCTCCTGCAGAGCCCAGTCCAAGGCTCTCAAAAACACCAGATCCACCCATAAAGGCCCAAACTCTGGAGCCTCATGGCCTGCATCCCGGCTGAGAGTCCGGCACTTGGCTTCCCCTCCGACATATTCCATCGCTGGCATTCATTATAGGCTATATTAGGCAATGTAGGCAAGGGCTTCTGCAAGGGGAAAATTACAATCAGCAGGTCAGTGTGCTGCTGGATCCGGCCAGTGCATGCCAGTTGTTTGGATGCTGCCGAGATCACACTCTCCTCGGCAATGTCTATGTCTCTACATGAGTGTCGACAAGACTGCTCGCTGCGTGTCTTACGCTTCATGGTGATCCTTGCGTGAGTGCCATGCGCTCCAAATGTGTCTGCTGGATCCGCAGCCACAGGCAAGGCAATGCAAGCCGTGCGATTCCAAAGGCGCACCCGCTGAGCTCCCGCCAAAGCTCAATTGCTTTCGTCGGGCCTCGCTCTGACACCGTCGCTTTCGCTGGGGGGGGGGTGCCCTCCACTCCTTCCGTAGCGGTGCTGTCAGGCCGGCCACGCGGGCCTCAGAGATCGTGTGGCACGTCTACCTCAGACGCCTGATCAATCACTCAGCCCCTGCTAAGTCGAACATGTAACCTCCGTCCGAGTCTCGGAGTGGACCTTTCCAAATCATTAGTGACTAGAATGACTAGAAGATACAAGACGCATAGCAACGTCATTCCAGTCCGCGCACACGGAAGAAGGCAGAGGAGCAGCATTGCTTTTGTACATTATGGCAGGTCTCACTCGCGTCGTGGAGCGAAGGCCTGCCACCTTGGACCTGTGCACAGGACGGCCGATGTCACGAGCGTACTGGTGCCTGCTAGTGTGCCCCTGATTTCCAAGCCCGAACTTCCTCACCCGATCAAGCTTCATTGAAAGATCCAATGCAGAGCACGATCCTTCCCAAGCCTTGTACCGTTACCGTTCCCGGCGCAAGGTTTCAGGCACTCTGTCAACCTGTCAACGTCTTGCCGTGTTACACCCCAACTGAGCGCGTTGCCAAGGTGCCAGCGGTCGTGAACAGCCGAGTTCTACTGCGCGTCCTCAACGCCATTCTAAGCTCATCCAACCGTTCGGACCGGCTGCTGTACTTCGCATCCGTCCTCCCGGATCTCGACGGAGTGAGAATGTTGGATGGGGTGGTTTCCTTTTACAATAATTAAACAGCAAAGTCGCCAACCCTGAGCTCTCTGCGCCCAGTCCGAGGCACCAGCTCTTCAGCGCAGGTGCGGAGCCACAGATGGCCGTGGCGGTGGCCTTCGCTTCGGTGCCGCGCCTGAGAATGCGCAGTGCCCCGTTAAATGGAACGGAATTTGTTCGGTTTGGTCCTTCTGCCAAGTTCTGTCAAGCTGCCCTGGGCTGGTGGCTCGCAGCTCATTGAGAATTGGACAGATTGGGGTGGGGCTGGGGGCAGGGCGGGCGGTGCAGGTGGTGGCGGTGGTGGTGCAGGCGGTGCAGGCAGTGCTGTGACTGAGCGCTGAGGTGGAGGTGCGGCCCGGGCCGGGGGAGGGTTGGGACTTGGAGGCAGCGACGCTGGAGGCGGGAGCGGAGCCCTCTCTGCGGGGCCAGCTCCCCCCACAAGAGTTGCTGTAGGAGGCGGCCGGTGCGCTGCATGGGACACTAAACGTGCTACTGGAGAAAGAGGGGGGGGAGGAGGAGGAGGCGCAGGCGGGGGCTGTGAGTGCATGCACGCAGACGGTTGAAGTGTCGCACGAGGGGCAACCGCTGCAGGCACTGCGGGAGGTGGCTGTGAAAGTGAAGGTGGAGGCATGCGAAGTGGCAGATCTGTAGCTCTTGGGGATGGCATGGCAGTTACCTCAGTTCGGGGTGGTGGCATTGCCGGTTGCGTGGTCACACGGTCAGAAGCCACAGGTTCCGGCACCGGCACTGATCGCGGCGGCACGGTTACGGCTGTCCCTGCTGTGTGCATCGGCTGGAGAGCCGCTGGCGGAAGCCACGCTGTCGTAACATGAGATGACACGTTTCGTCCTTGAGCTAAAGCTGATGCCTTGTGCTTGGACCGTGAGGCTTCAGATGTTCCTTCGCCGGATCGCTGTGGCGGGGGAGGTGGTTGGATGGCTGGTGCAAAGCTTGTTGGGGCGGGGGTCGTTGGGAGTGAAGTTGCCGGCGAAGCAGCCGAGGAGGCAGGTGGCAGGGCGGGCGGGAGTGGCGGTGGCCGAGGCACGGCAGGCGGTGGCAAGGGTGCAGGTTTGGGCAGAGGCTCCGGCGCTGGCAAGGCAGGCGGTGGGGGCAGTGGTGCAGGTTGCGCTGGCGGCGGTGTGCTTGCCGGCGCCGGCGCCGTTGGTGGTGCGGGCAAGGGCAGGGGCTTTGGGGGTGGGGGCAAGGGCACAGGCCCTGGCACAGGAGCTGCAGGAGGTCGTGGTGGTGCTGGCGACGGTACTTCTGGGGCCGATGTCTCTGGGGGGTCGATCGTGTATGGAAGAGCCGGAGGTGACTGTGGCCTCCTGGGCACAGCACATGGTGTGTGCAGCTTTCTGTTCTAAACCACTCAGGGCTCTCGTCCGCGAGCCTGGGAGGGGATGCTGACGGAGTGAGCGAGGCGGCTGCATCACCGCCACGAGGATTGGACGGCACCTTCCAGCGGCCCGCGATTCTCCGACATCCTGCGACTTACCTTGCATCCAACTGGCCGCCCCTCTTAGAAGGTACTAGTAGCACAACATGCAAAGACGCACCTCATGGGCCTCGGACTCTGGGGATTCCTCTCGCTTCCTCTTGGAGTTCACGACAATCGGCTTTTTTTTCGGCTTCTTTCCTGGTCGCTATGAAGGCAATCGCAATAATGCCTGAGTCAACACGAACACGGATCAGAATTCCGGAGAAGTTGCGCGAGCCTTCTCCTTTTCCATGTTTGCCCTTCGCTTTCCCTTTCTTGCCGCCCTTCCCATCCTTCTTGTGGCCCTTGCCCTTCGCCTCAAAAGGCCGGCACAAGACTCCCGAAGCAGTCACTCGCTCGTATTGCTTTTTGGGGGCTCCGGTGCTAGAGCATAGTTTCCACCTACGGTGCATAAGCTGCCCACAGGCTTGCGGGCATCGCGGCGAGACTTGGAGGTGGGTGCCTTGGTGATAAGCTGCGACCAAGGCAAAGATCAAGCCCCATTCTTCAAAAGCGCCGCTAAGCAGAAGGCCCCCCGGCCATCCGAAGCAAGGAAGGCGTCTGCCACCTGCAAGGCGAATGCCAAAAACATCGTCCTGGACCTGGAGACCCGGCCCGCATCGGCCCGAAACGTCGGCCCGAAACGGCCTTGGCCCGGAGTGGTGCCTTGTCCTAGGCACGCCACTGCCACTGGCCAGGCGAAGGCGAAGGACAAGGCCTGGGCTGGGGCCCTGTCGACCTTCGTCAGGGACACCATGAAGACGCCGTCGCCCCTGTCTTTAACTTTGAAACCTCACAACAAAAGCCCTCGCTCTCTCTCTTCGCCGACTACGCAGATAGTCACATAGTTGAATGCTCAGCGGCTGCTCCCAAGCGACCGAAGGATTTGCACGAGGGCGCTCTTGCCCGGCAGCTCCTGACAGCGGCTTTCGGTCTCAACAATTGGCAAAGCAGATCAGCTGGTCGCTGGCCTCTTTGAGCTGGGTGATGTCTGAGCAAGATTCCAGCTCGGAAAGCGCCAGCTTGCTGTTGGCTTTGCGTAGCACCTGGGACACGGCACGAGCTGTGGTGACTCTGTAGACAGGCCCAACGCGCTGCAGCCAAACCACTTCTGCGGTGGAAAAGCGAATGGCCTGGAAGCAAGACCATCACGCCCACTGCATATAATGAGGCTTCAATGGAAAGCCTTTGGCCATGTGGCTACGCATGCCTATCAACGTTCTCTTGCACAATGGCCCGAAGCAGCCTCGAGTATGCCCAGTACCCGGTTTCTTTCAGCGAGCTCAGCTTCCTGATCAATCAGAAGAAAGACAATTGCAATTGTGCTGACACATGAACGACCAGATTCTGTTGGTAGCATAGCTACACCGACACTGGCACAGGCGCCCAACGCCTCTGTTTCGGGTTCTGACATGTCCTTCGGGCTGTGATCACAGAGCAGTCTTTAATTTCCCTTGTGCCAAACCCCTTCAATTAGTGCGATGCCAAAGGATGCATGTCCTGGCGCGCCCAGGACTCTTCCGCGGCCATTGAAGCCTTTCCGCAGTCAAGAAAGATGTTGCAGCAATGGGTAGGGCACTGTCACAAAAAGCAAGTAAATCAAGAAAGACACGAAGCACAGAACCATGGAAGCCCCGCTCGTAAGAGGGTCTTCGTCACACCCATGCAACCGGCATTGCCAACAAATCTATGCCACTTCTTGTCCCGAAGGCCTCCGAACCCGATTCCAAGTCTCGCTGGCCCCGTGGATATGCATCCCGTCCTGCGCGCGGCTGCCAAGACCAGGGCCGAGCCCCAAGCAAGCTGGCGCTTCACTGCCAAACCACTACATGTCATGGTTTGACGCCAGTACTTATACTTTCGGCACCATCACCAACTCTGAGGCGTCTGCCGCCACGTCTTCCGCGGCATCGCTTGCCGCATGACTTGCAGCGTCGTCCTTGCACAAAAAATGCGTGAATCTGCAGGCGTCCTTTCTTGAAGCGAACTGCCTTGGAGGAGCCTCGGCCTCTGCCTCGGTATCGTTGTTCTCATCTTCGGTCAAGGGGTCTTTCTCCGGAAATCGTTGCTCCTCGAGTGCTCGCCAAGACTGCGAAGTCACTAGAGGCACAATACCAAGACTACTCCCAAGCCTTCTGGGCAGAGCATATCTCAATCTCTTTGTCCAAGACCAGAACTTTCCCGGCATGGATTGCAGCGTCTGCACCTGCCATCAGCTGCCGCCAGTTCGCGAATTGAGTAGTCCCTGCGAGTCCCTCCGTTCCCCGCCTTCTTTCGTCCCGAAACGAGCAAAGCCAAATTTCAAGTGACGCTCGAGGTGGACGTGAGTCACCTTTGCTTTGAGTTGGGTCCATCTACATCATCCCTTGGCCAGCGCTTGCCAACGCAACTGTCTAGCCATAACGTCTTCAGACCAAGAGTTGGGTGTGAGGAGACTGCAATGGCATCGCTGTGCCGTGGAACCTCCATTCCGCTGCTCGTATGCATCACCCAAATGAAGTCAAGACAGTCAAGACACTTCGCCAAACTTCCGCAGCGACTCCTTCAACTCATGCCTGGCTCTCCGAGGATACATGAATGCGAAACTGAACGCTCAGGCCGTTCTCTGAGACCCGACATTGAATCGAGATGCTTCGACTGCAAGGTCTCGGGCAGGTTGCGGACGTAAACCGATTGCTCATCCCGCCTTCGTTGTCAGTTACCATCCGTGCATTCCTGTTTTAACCGAAGACCCATACTGTATGCCGACGCCAGATCCCGGAAGCCGAGCAGCGGGATGAAGCCATCGCTCAGGCGCTGCCGCTGTCGGCGGGAGGTCTCTCCTTGGGTTTGAGCTGTTTTTCTCAGCTTGAAGGCTTCGGGCTTCACCAAAACTTAACACCCTGTGCCTGAGCCAAGCTACTAGTAGGGCCCCTGATTCTGTGGCGGGTTCGTGCACGAGTCCCCCTCCGCCCTAAGCACAGCTTCCATCTTGCACTGCGAGGATATTGAGAACGTTTCTTGGCCACCACTTGTGGAGTTTCTGTCGCTGCCTGCTCTCTTTGAAGAGGTCCCCAACTCCACAGCCAGAAACACAGCTTTCTTCTGCCGTTAAAGAAGGCGAAGGAGTGTCTGAGCGATGGTCTCTCTAGAAGGGAGCGGCCGCGTCCCGACATCTGCGGGACTTTCAGGTTCTTTTTCAAGAGGTGCACGGGACTGGCGCTTTCTTCGACCACCTCACGACCAATGTTCGGTTTCGCGAGGTCTTTCCTGGGTGGCAGTGCAGACCTCCTAAGCAGCCGGCGGTGTGCGCACGAGTGTCGAATCAAGGAAGGCTTTCTCCGGAGACTAGGCCGGAGGTTCCGAGTGACGAGGCACGAGGCCCCATCCGATTCAGGAAATGCTGGGTGCAGCAAAGGAGCCAGCATGCTCAGCTGCACGCTTCAATTCTTGATCTCGCTTCTTGGCGCTCCTGAGGCCAGGACCAGTCTGCAGTTTCGCGTGGATTCAAGCCATGGGACTTTTTCACGCAGCGGATGCGGGCAAGGCGCTTCTGAGCTTGATCCTTCTTCTTTCCTCCCTTTCCACCCTTGCCTTTGCCTTTGTTGCCTTTGTTGCCTTTGTTGCCTTTGCCTTTACCCTTGTCGCCTTTGCCTTTGTTCTGACCGCGACCTCTGCTTCTGCCGCGGCCCTTGGCCATGGCGGGCACTCGCTAGCAGCATTGCTGCTGCATGCGCTTCAAAGGGCATGTCCCTGTCCGCACCGCGGCTGGGGAAGCGGGGCTGGGGCTCTACGACTTTAGGCCAATGCTTTGCGAAGAAGCTGAGCAGGCACCGGTCGGCCAAGGCATGACTGGAAAGCTGTCTCGTCATGAGCCACAAAATACAACAGCCACTGCTCGGACCAAGAATGGCAACAGAAATTCATGTACTCATTCTGCCCGGCTCGCCTGAACACGCAAGGTTGCTGACACCGCCGGCAAGAAGCCAACATAAACTCAAATTGGCAGGGTGCTATGGCGCTCTCTTTTTGCCGGTGCCTCGACAAATCGAAGGTACCTGATGGATACTGCATGAAGCCTCAAGGCTCCTCGTGCCAGGAAGTTGCCCTTTGAGGCAAGACCCTTCATTTAGTCTGGTGCACCGAAAACATTTGCCCAAGAGACATGTCGCGCTTCAGGCCTAGGAGCCACGAGCTCTTTTTCAGTCTGGCAGTCTAGAGTCGGAAGCGCCATCTTTGCTCCAGTTCTTGGGCCAAGGGTGACACTACCATGCTTGTCGCCAGCAGCAGAGGATGCAGGTGATCGAAGTGTATATGGTTTAACGGTATACCGTATACCCCTTCCTCCCTGCATAAGGCATCGACCTGCATCCTGCAGTCTTCGCTGCATAACCTAATTTTAAAAACGAGGGGACACTCACCCAACCGTTTATAGCCCTGCATGATGCGGTTTGAGCTTACTGTGGGATGTCGTGGTGTCCCTCTGCACGTTTCGACATGTCCACGCTGGCGATGTCCAGGACAACACTCCAATAGTCTCAGGCGTCCAGCTGAAATTGTGGTTTCATTGACGATTCTGCCGGTGGCTCGTGTGTGGCACGTCAGAGTCTGGTTAGAAAACCGACGACACCACGTGCTTAACAGGATGATTCCTCGAGCCAGTCGTCGGTGGTAGCAAACCGTTGGCGTCACGTGACGAGCTGAAACACGGCCCCTCGTCATCGCCCACCAACTGACAAACGATCAGACCCCACAAGTCTGCTCCGAATGAGATGCTGGCGCAGGCACAAGCTTTACCCAGGCAATCAAGAACTGAATTTTTCACCTAAAAACAAAAACTGAGCAAGGTGAGCAATGTCTCACTGTTCTGTGGTCAAAGGTCTGCTGCTCTCGAAGGCTGTACCCAGCATCGCATGACTCGGCTGGAAACGCGCACGCTGTGCTGTGCTGTGCTTGAAAATCAGGCACTTTTGAAGGCGAAACGGGTGAAAGTGTCTCCATATCCATCCATCTGAAATCGGTAGCAACCATCGCTAAGTCCTGACACCTCGTGTGTACTGGGCTGACCGCATGATCCGAGAACACAACTACAAGGCACGAAGCCCCCGTGAGATCTACTTCTCGCCAGGCGGGATAGCTCTCAGGTGTCTCACACGAACCTCGGCTTGTCAATCCGACATGTTTTTAGGCCCAACATTTTTGCCGGCCTTGATGTACGCTTCCTGCTTCTTTGCGGAGTCGCTGGCATCCTTGAGGGCCAACTCTCCTTCGAAGCCTCCGGCGCGACTGCCCTCCACGAAACTAGATGTCCAAATCGTCTCACGAGATCATGACTGCGCACAAGACGCAGGCGTCTTTTGGATAAATCGTCTCGAAAGCCAAATCGATGTAGCCTAAGAAATCGTCTGCCTTCCCCGTGTCCTCCACGCAAACACAAGCACGTTTCGCTTCATGCGCAAGGAGCCGCTCTACAGGCGTGGCAGAAACGTGAAAGGACCACAAGCACAAACGCTGCACAACCCCATCATCTAGCGATATCTTGCAGCCAGAGCCACATGTTGCGCCTGAAAATCCTTCACGAAGTAGCAAGAAGAGCAGGCAGCGCACTTTTGTCATTTGCGGCCAACTGTCTTACATCTGGCAAAGCCTTTGCTGAAAGCCGTCGCTGGCTCCGAATGCATCAGCTGGAAAGCCAACCTTCGCCTGGAATGCAAGTTGTCTTCTTTGCAACTGCTCCGTCGAATTCCTATCTAGCGAGACCTTCCCTTCCGTGTTATAGCTGCCGTAAGAGTAAAGCACGAGCATGTTTGTTGATTGCTTTGTTTGTAGGAAGGGAGTTGAACAAGCATTTTACTGCTTTGCACTTGCCGTCGCGGTGACTGCAAGTGTGGACGGCCCTGGCACTGCAGACTGGTGAGCGTTGGACTGTGCACAGACGCAGCCGCAGCACCAACAGCCTGTAAGGCTCAGAACTCCGCGCCGCTTCCTCCTTAAGGCCTCCGAACGTTGCACGGCTAAGCAGCTAAGACAGCCCTCCGCCGCAGCACGCAAGCAACTTTCAACTCTCTCCCGAGGACACGCGGGGTGATTGACGGTTTTGAGTTCGGCCCCTCCTCGGGTGGCGAGGCCGCTCCGTTTTGAAAATCAAGGGAACCCTCAGCTTGAAGATGAGCCCCGTGGGAAACCGATGCATTGCAATATGACGTGGAACGTCCTGTGTGTTGCGCTACCAGCTTGCAGCGCCTCTTGCCCTTCAAGCCCCCCATCTTCTTCTTGTTGAGCAGACCTGCCGAGAGCCCGAGAGCCCAAAGGAGCCCAAAGGAGCCCAAAGGGAGAGCCGGACAGCAGAGTCCGAGTGCCGAGGGCCCTGCTGGCAAAGTCGCTCTTTCCAAACTTCCCGCGTCCGCCGCCAAGGGCACCGCCCAAACCACCGCCGGAGCCTCGGAGCGCGGCTTCGAAAGGCTTCGAAGCGAAGCGAAGCGAAGCTTGGGACGCTGTGTGGACTTCGCTCTTTTCGCTGGGTGCCACGCCTCCTTTGCCCTTCTGCTTCATGAACTGATAGCCTGCACACCGACTCAAAGTCTCAGACTCAGCCTTGCCGCCTTTCTGAGATGGGAGCCCCCCAGCCTAGCAGAAGCACTACGGCACAGGCCATCACCGGCAGCTTAAAGTTGGAGAAGGGGTCGCTGGTTGAAGGCGGCGTGTAAACCTTCTTTTTCCGATGCTTCAGTCGTGAATGCAAGCCAGTTGGCGAGAAGTGCCTGCATCAAAATCTCCAAAATCTCCACTTCTCGCCCGTCTTCTGAAAGAAGCGCTACTGCATCTCCGTGCTGCTTTCTTTGCACCTCAAGGCACATCACATTCTACCCGGTCGAGGTAGCGGGGTGTCACCAGAAAGCCCCGCCCAGCCAAGATGAGCACGCTCCAGTCCCGGACAGGTAGTCTTGGCCTCCGCCAGATCACATGACCACCTGGACCTGTCACCAGGTCTGTTAAAGCCTTGCACAGAGTCCAACTCAAAGAAGGCACCTAGCTCTCCAGGACGTCTTCGACCAACGTGTTGGCTCAGGTTCAATGCCTTGAAGATCTCTCGGAGTTCAGCAGGAGCAGATGTGTCTTCGGTTTTGGGCTCCATGCCAGCAGCGATGATGTTGGCAACTCTGAGGGCGTCGATTTCTGCAAACCAATCACCTCGGATGCTTTCCTGGCTCTGAGCACGCTTTTGTCAAAGCTTGTGAAGCAGTCCGTGATGAGTGCTACATGACTTTCAACGAGCTTCTCCTTCAAGGGGTAGGACTCCCCGAACCCTGCTGTCTCGCGGGTGGCAAGGGGAGTGTCCTGGTCTCTGTGCTGCCACCACACCAACCCTAAACCCACCTCGCTGCCTACATCCAGAGTCCAACCACAGCCCCCGCCGCACCACCCTGGCTCTAAATGCGTGAGACCTTGGCCAAGTCTAGTTTCCACTGAGGCTCTTATTGGCTTGGTTGAAAGTTTAAAGGCTTCAATGCAGCCCGCCCCCCCCCCCCCTACCAACGCCTCACAGTCCCTGAGGATTTAACGCTGCTCTCACCCATCCGCCCCACCACAATTTGCATTCACCGCCAGGGCGGCAGCTGTTTCTGGCTCATGAGGCCAACCGTTTGTGAAAGGCTTTGGATTTGGGGCTTGAGGACTAGGACTTGAGGACCCACATTTCTAGCAGCTTCTGGTGTGGCGCACGAGATGGTGCTCACGATGCTTCATGGGGCTCGCCAAGCTACAGCTCCTGCATAAGATATTGATATAGCCTCAATCAGGAGTACATGGGGATCATGCCATGCACAGAATAATGTTTCTTCGCTCCTGCTGGCAATAGTCGGCTTCTGTACTGATGTGGAACGGAGAGAGCGAGTTCATAGATGCTCTGGACACGGACATGAATGCGGTGACAGCTTTGGTACGACCTCGCTATCCTGCTTGGTTCCGGGGAAGGAATGGAAGCTGATGAGCGTCGCTGGGGCTGGCCGATTGGAATGAGGGCAGCAAGGGGCGGGGCATGCGGGGCAAGCTGAAACTCTTGGAGCTGCAACACTAGAAACACACTGAAATCGGTAACGCCGGCTTTCAAGTTGCAGGAGTCTGAGTTGTGGGTCTGTAGCCCTGGCTTTAGCCCCAGGTGGAGGGTAGCTCTTGTTTCGGAAATGGGGGAGTCGGAGAGGTGTCGGCAAAGGCCGCTAAAGAAAACGTGCGGGCTGCACGGTCCGCTGGTCGGGACATGGTGGGCATTGCATCGTCGGCGTGCGGGCCATTTACACTTCTGGCCGAAGCCCCGGAAGAAAACGAAGCAACTCTGCCATGTCACATATCCACGAATGGCTGCGAGCTCCAAAGGCACCTGCTTGGACAAACACGCTGGAGAATCGGGGCAATGGAGTATCGTGCCCTTGTCGCCTTGTAGTCTGTGGCATATGGGAACTTCTTCTCGAACTCACAATCCTTCCGGTTTTTCACCTCGAGCACAAGCTCAGCTGTGCAGGGCAGAGGACGGCCAAAGGTATGGGGGGGGAGGCGAAAACTGATCAGGAGTTAACCTTTGTGGATGTGTCTCCGACCATCCACGCGGTACAAACCAACTGACGCCCTGATGCTGGCAACCTGCTGTGCGAAAGACGCTCATGAGGAACTACTATGAGGCTCCGCACAGAAATCGTGTCTGAGCAGCATCGCACAAAGCTCCAGGCGAGCCACATTGTGTCTCACATGTCTTTACGCTGTTATCTGATTGTTGGCTGCGGGACGTATCCGTCCGTCTGCACAGGTCTGCGCATCTCTGAGTTTAGTTATAGTTCGTGCAGAGGGAACAAGTGGACGGCGCACCGGACAAGCATCTGCCACAAAGCTGGAGAGGTTTCTCAGCAGCCGGCGTTGAAAACCCAAACCTTCGCACGTCAATCCGTCCGAGATGCATGCACAAAAAAACTGCTGTGTCCTGCTTTGGTCCATGGCCAGGGCAGCACATCATCAAAGCACTGCTTGCAGCTATGGTGCAGCACCGCTTTCATCCGACAGCAGTACCTGCCGCACGCACCAACACACAGAGCAGGAATCATGCGAGGCATTCTCATCGTGGCGGCGCACTTTGGAGAGCTGCTGACTGTCAACTGTGATTGCAGCCACTCGCCCCTGCAGAGGGCAGAAATATCAAAAGGAGCGCCCAGTCATGCCCAGTCACAGGCACAGCCTCGAACTTGGGGCAGTCGATGTGCTTCACTTCGGCTTTGTCGAGGTTGACGTATCCCCACTCCATCCCGGCTCGGAAGATCACTTGTGAATGGAAGGAATGCAGGCCTTCCACACCCGGACCCTCCATGGCGGTTGCATCGACCTGGTTCTTCAAGGTCCCATTCTTGGCAAAGACACTAATTCGCCCCATGGAGTCGCCTGCAACGATCTCCCGGGTGCTTTTGTGGTTGGAGATGGCCAATGCACTCAAGCTCCCATCTCCTCCTGGGAGTTGGAGCTGCCGTTGCAGCTGACTTGTGACGTTCAGCTGGGGACCTAAATATTGCGACACCTTCTCATCAGAAGAATTTGCTCGCGTCGCTCGCTCCTCCTTGCTGACTCGCCTTTGCCGCACTGAGATTCTGTGGACCCGAATTGACCCGCTAGCATCTCCTGTTGCTAGCAAGTGCTCCTCGTGCGTCGGAGAGGTTGCGACGTGCGTTATTGGCGCCTCGTGGCCTGCTTCAAAGGTCAACAGAAGCTCGCCAGTTGGGCTGAACAGCCGAACACCTCCCTCTGCATGGACTGCAGCTAATATACATGTCGGCGTCTGCGACTGCGGCGACGAGGATGGAGAGGAGGATGTTGAAGGTCGTGGGTTGCGGAGCAGCAGCCACTCGATATGAGCGACGGGCTCGGCCATGGGGAGAACCGTTTTGGTGACAAGGAAGTCTTCTGCAGCAGCTATCGGTGCTCTATCGCCCTGGCCTGCGATCTCGGATAGCAAAGGCAAGCCTTCGGTCAATGCTTGCATCTGCGCTGCAGAGAGTGGGAGCCCCTTGCCAGCCGTTGCAGCTCCTGCACAATGCAGACACGACAGGGTTCTATAGCGTTCCAAAACCGCAAGTCCCCATCTGATGGCTATCCGATATCTTCTATACACATCCATGTTCAGTCATGACGGATGGAGCTCCTTGGAGTTCCTTAAGAAAGGTCATGCGCTCATCCCCCATCTTCAGCAGTGTTTTGAGTTCCTCCATTTCCTGCAGGGAAAACACGAGTTGAATGAGTAAATGCTTCATTGGGCTCTTGGAGATTGTGCACGGATCAGGCATGACGTTCGGGAACCATCTCGCAGTTATCCCACTTCCCTGCCGCCTGCGTAATGAGGTCAGACTGAGGAGAAGACGGCATTGGTGCTGAAGTCGTGGTGGCCTTTCAGAGGCCGAAAGCAAGACAGACATGTGAAAATTACGTGTTCGTGGGGAGGCACCTTCGGCGCTGGAGCCCTTTGCGGTGGAGTTTCTGGCTCTGGTTCTCTGCAAGCGGCACCTGTCATGCAGTTTTTGGAGTTAACGAGAAGGACCTTGAGGAGAGTCGTATGCGAAAACGTTTGATATCAGCATTGGCTCAAGGAACGCAACTTGGCTTTCTCTTTATCCACTTCGCTTGCGATGCCGACGAGCCCCGTGCCTGCAGGGCCTGCCGGACAGCTGTCCTCGAAAGTGGGCAGCAGTCAAGCCCATCCCAAGCTGGGATTGAGTGCCAATACGACTACAGCCGACTATGTCAACACACTCCCTCCTGAGCCAAAGCCATAGATGCACAAAGCATCCGGAGGAGGAAGCATCTCGTCTGCCCCCTCCTTGCAGCTCAAGGGTATCTGCTCAGCTCTTGGGTGGATGCAAGCCTGCCAAGGACCAATCACAACGGCCCAGGCCTCATTCCAAGCGCATCCACCATGCGCACAAGCGCGGAACCGACTCGATTTGTTCGCAGGTCCGCTTCGAGCCGAGATGCAATCCATGCACCCTTTCCTGCAGGACCCCCCACATGCTGGATGCGGCTGAGGTATTGACTTTCCCGCCTCCCGCGCTGCTCCCCATGACTCGCCCAACCCCCCACATACGGCCTGATCGAAGACGGAGAATTTCAGCTTATCCCCTTGACCCAGCTGCATCTTTGCAGCTTGGTTCCAGACCTCACGGAAAGTGAATCAGACAAGTTTTGTCTACAATCACAGGCACTGCGTCAGAGTCGGTCTGCAAACTGAGAACTGGACAGGATTCTCCTTATTCTTCACCGTTTTCGTTTTGAATTTGGACTTCACCTCGGCCCGGGATGCAATCCAGCACGCCAGTCCCACCGCAGAACTCACGAAACTTGCTTCAAACATCGTGACAAATAAGATGGGCCTTTCCGATGGACTCGCAAAGGCAGTAGGGATCAGAGGTGCCCTCCAGCCAGTCTGCATCGCGCAGACCCCGAGCAGAGACACATTTCACCTGTCCCAGAGTCGACCGGCGACCGCGGCGACCGGGTGGCATCTGAAAACCCCTGAAACAAACCCCCTTTTGGCACTTCTCTCCAGCCTCGAACTCGTAGCGATTCTCCTCTGGCTTTGCCGGCTTCGCTTCATCGGCCCTTAAGACGCAGCAGCGCTTTTACCGCTATACTATCGCCATAGGAGATCGTCCCTTCTGGCGAGCATTGTGCTGACAAGGCGCTGAGCGTGCGCCTCTTTCGGTGAATCGACCTTCGGACTTGAGGCAGAGGGCCATTCATGGCAAAGGGCGACAGGGTGTTGTTGCGAAACACGCTCTCACGGGTTCATCTTTGCCTTCAGCTGTTGGGAATCTTCTGGTTTTGCCTCCTGCTTTGCATCGGCAGCCTTCACGTCCTGCAGTCACACAACTGATAGCATCGAGGGCTAAATTGTGCGAGGTGCACCGAGAGAGCCTACGCCAGCCCATCCCACAAAACAGTTCCTCCTCCAGGTCCGGCTTCGTGGGCGTCTTCGGCGCCGCAGCCTTCTTCCTTGAGACATCCACACGCAATTTCAAACGAAAGCTTGAGGCTGAGACCTGCAGTGAGACATGGCATGCGAGGTGGAGTTTTAAGCTCACCTGGTCTGCCCACTGTGAAACTCAGCAACAAACCTAGAAGAGGCTCAGGCGTCCTGGCAAAGCTCTGAAGGAGCCAACCCGAAACTGATTCACGAGAACGCAGGGCTTGAGGCAGGTGAATGCGGAGTAGCTATAGCAGTTATTTCTGATGCCCACCAAGAGTCGAGGACACCTTCTTCTTTGCTTTCGCTTCGGCCTCCTGTCGTTGATTCATTTAAAGTCTCAAGTGGCACAGCAGCCCACAAGCGCCGCGATCGCAGCACGTCTGACGCGTCCACTCCTTGGCCTTCTTCGCCTCTTCCTGCCGGACACCCGTGTTGGGCTTTCGGATGGGTCCCAAACTAAAAGCTTCAGCACGGCCTCCGCAGCCTTTCGCTGTGCTTCTTCCTTTGCTTTTTGCTCCTCTTCTGCAGCTTTCTCTGCCAGCTGCTGTAATCCTTGAGTTGCCACTTTTCACTGGGCTGCGCAAGGAAACAGCGAGAGAGGAAAGGCTACTGGTAGTAGGGGCCATGCGCTGGGCCGCTTCCGCTTCTTTCTGCTTCCTCAGGGGCAAACTCCGCTCTGCTATAACCGATGTCATGTTCAAACATGAAGCACGTGGGTAAGATTTCCTTTCGGAGAATTTCGGGCTTGTGATCTCATCTGTTGCCGAGCTGCTGCAGCGTCACGTATGCTTCAGCCTGCGGGCAGGTTAAAGTTGCTGAAGGCTCACACGCGACTTCGGAAAACGTGTGCACGGGAGAATAGCGCCTCGGTGAGCCAAAGTGGCTTCCCAGGCGGTGGAATAGGCTGATCGCTGAGGCATTTCCTTGGACGCACTTGGGCTCCTCCCTGCAAGCCCATTCTCGATAGTGCTGCGAAGTGTCGTTTCTGCAACTGCTTCAGCAGTGCTACCCACCTCCTGCCCAAGAGGACATATAGAAACCGAATGCCGTCGCAAGGCATGGCATCGCCGCCCTCACTCACGCGCCCTTGACTCTGTGAAAACCCAACAGGAAACAGAAGAATGAACAAAGTGGCAAGAAAGACAGAGAGAGGGGGAGAGAGGAAGAGGAGCAAGAGGATGATCTGCCACGAAACCGCCCACCCTTGCAGTACCCGCCTGAACTGCGCAGCACTTCTGTTGCACAGCGCCCATGCCCCTGGACATGTCTTCATGACTGCACAGGCTGACACCCGATCCTCAAACGTTTCGTGCCCGGCTAAGTCACGGGCGCACTGGAAAAGCTCTCCGATGCGGCTTACAGCAAGCCCTACGTGACTAAAACGCAAGCGGTCGTGTGATTTGAACGTGACATCGATCTGCCTAGCTCCATGCTGAGAAAGCTCATTTTCGAAGAGCTGCCAACATGTCAAAACACCAGCCGCACAGCACTGCCTCTATTTTGCGTCAGTGAGAGCGTGAAGTTAACACCGACTTGCACAAATGGCGACAGAAGACTCCAGCTGCTTCTTAGGGAGACTTCGTGAAACTGTGAATCAGCAAAGGTGCCCAATGGCGATCGCACTCTGCCTTCAACATCGTTGGAGAAGTGCGAGATCTTGACACATGAGGCCAAATCCAACTTTTGTTGGTCTCCGCAAGCTCAACACACCTTCTACGAGCCTGCTGAGGTCCAGCTTACTGAACAGATTCTTAATAGTATTCTTACTTCATCACGGCGACAACATGCCTGAAGACTTGTAGCACATGAAACAACTAGTGGGGTGCAGTCAGTAGCAGTGATGAGCTACAAGAGTGTTGCAATTTGGGACACATTGCCCTTTGGCTTCTGCACCATCCTCGACATGACAACCCTTGTACACAGCTGCCTGAACAAAAAGGAATTCCGGAATTTAGGGGTAGACATGCAGATGGTGCATATTGAATTAACAGCATGAACTACGCCTTTTGTCGGCGCTACACAGTGCACGTGCCGTGCAGATGCACCCTGCCCACATGGCAGTCCCAAAGCAAAGCGGCTTCATGTGAAATGTGGCTTCGGCGAGGCGCGAGTGTCTGGTGAATACGTTGGCAACTTCCAGGGTGCGCTGACGGTCATGCAGGGACACCCTTGCGAGCCCTAGCATTTCGTGGCTCCAATCGAAACAGACTACGTGAAGTCTTGGTTTCGCTCAAACCAGGGTGAGATGCTTAGCTTGACCAGATTCACCACCGCACCAAGTGGCCCTGTTCTAAATCATGTGTCTGACATACTACCAAAGCCTGTAACGGTGCTGCGTCTTGGAAGTGACAAGCTGAAAAAGAACCCAGTCGTCCGGCACTGCGCAAGACTAGAAGACTCTGCTTTTTGACAGGGAAGTTAAGGAGAAGCCCACCGCAGTCCCGGCAGGGGATACCGCCACATGTGTGCGGCCGGTTCACTATAACTCAAGCCTCTTGTCCTGTGGCAGAAAATGCGCCCTGTACACGAACGCGAACCTTCGGACAAGCGCGGTGCTCATGTCATGAAGCATCTCAAAGCCAACTCGTGCGATACTGCAGCAGCATGCAAGGTCATGCAGAGAGCCTGACGCCTTGCACAGCACAATCAGCACAGCAGAAGCCCCAAGGATTATGTTACTTTGATGTGCAGACTGTGAATCCGGGCCTTGATTCCTCCACCCGGAACCTGGCCATGGGAAGAGAGCGCTCAGCTTGCCCATGGAGTGCAGCGTTTCTTGCATCTTCGCATGCAGCTTAGGAAGTGATCTCGGCCTACTAGATCCTGCTAGGCTGCTAGGTGCTCAGAGCCTCTCCCAGTTTGAAGCCCAAGCTCACGTCCAGGTAAACCCAAACCCAGAATGGATTATGTGCCACAGCTGGAGCACTCATTGTGTACTTCGCGCATGAAGCGACGCGTAAACAGAGACGTCAGCGGAAGCCGACGCATCGCCTGGTTGCCGGAGCTATCTTCCAGCGGTATCTCATCCTCGAAGCCTTCCAACGAGAAGCTTTTCCTTTTGGGGTCTGAAAGGCGGCTTCTGCATTGCCACTAGCCTGATGGGACCATGCGGTCGAAGTCGAGTGTGGCCTTCGCGAAGAAGGATGCGGTGTCATCCAGATCCTGCGAGCACTCATTGTGCTGCAGGCCGGAAACGCGATACTGCCACCCAACTTCAGAACAAGATCCGGTGTCCGCATCTTGAACTCGGAAGGTGAGGAAGTCGCCACGACCGATCTGGAGCTTGGAAGCCTGGTTCCAGACCTGAGATGAGGAAACCCTGGGGCTCATCAACGTTCGCGTCTGAATGGCCCGCATGCTTCCAAGTAACTGCTTTATCCCTGGAGCTCGAACTCTTGGTGCGGAATTTGACAGGGTTGTTGCCTTGGCCAGCAGATGCATACTTGAGGGAAAGGGCCGTTGAGACAACCACTTCTTGCAATCGGAACTGAAGCCGAATGTTGCGACCGCCAGAATGCTGCCCAGTTGCACCTAGCGAGTCCCACAACCTCATGACGCAGGATTCACTTCCATGAATGCAGGTTCTGAGCTGTGTTCTTCGGGCACAGTGTGCACAACCTGCCGAGTAGCAAAGGGTCTGTCGCCAGCCTCTGGCAGCTTCACCGCCGATACGATTTTAACCTGTCATGCCGACAGTCAGTGGGCCTCGAGCGTCGCTCCAAGAGCTGTCGAAGTGTCAAGAGCCTCCAAAAGGTACCGCACCTGAGACCTCGGCTTTCAGTCTTTGGCCGATTTCCGCACACCACAGCGAGAGCCCGGCGGATCCTGAGCTTTGCTGAGAACCTCGCCACGGCACTCACAAAAGCTGCAGCCCTGAAACTTACCCGGCAGTCCTGCCTCGTCGACGTCCTTCACCTCTACCGCCGGTGACTGTGTCCTGCTTGTGACCGCCTTAGCAGATAACTTCCAGAAGGCCTTGTGAGAAGACGCAAAGGACAGAACCGGACCCCGGAACATCTGATTCGGAGGCAATCGCCCCTTCAGGGTTCTCGACATTAAGACAACTTCTTTTCAGTGCCGCAAACTATGTGGGATAATGCAGAAAGTCCCGCAGAGCACCGTCGGCGACTTGAAAGGTGAGGGGAGGTCCTGGCAATGCCTGGCAACCATTACCACGACGTTCAACCTGCTGCTGTCGGCTGACACGAACCTCCGAATCAGAGTGACAAACCCAATGCTCTTACGTCTGAAACGCCACGGGTAGGCAAATCCCTCAGTTCCGCTCGACTCCGAATCAGAGTGACAAACCCAATGCTCTTACGTCTGAAACGCCACGGGTAGGCAAATCCCTCAGTTCCGCTCGACGGCCCTTGCAACCTTGCCCTGTCTGCACCCCCACGGAACAAAAACTCCCCGTCTGCAACTTAATCGTCACACTACAGTGCTGCCCTTGCCACTGTATTGTAGGAGGTAACAATTCCTTTTTGCCGTTCCACATTCATGCCGCTTCGTGACAGTGAAAACTTCCCGGCTCGCTTTTGCCCCAATCAACGTGACTACAAGAAGTCACGGCGGTCCCGGTCCCACTTTCACGCATTGCGCCACTTTTTGCTTATGGGTGCGGAAGGCACGCGATTCCTTCGGATGAGTGCGTGTGGGATCCCGCCTGGTCGGGCCCGATCCAATATTCTCGCATGTTGGCCCACGCTGCAGAGAAACGCTGTTCCTCGATCTTCTTCGCACTTCGCATCTCCAGCGGAGACTCCGCCCGCCTTTCAGATCCCTTGGCCGGGTCTTCGCCTGCCTTTGCTTCCCGTTGCTGCCTGAGCTCTGGACGCCAAGAGGTAGAACTGGCGATCCCGACGCAGCAGAGTGTGCCTCAGCCGAGCGAAGGAGGAAGCGAAGCTCGGACACTCCTTCGCCCCTTCCTTTCCCCTTGGTCCAGCCCAGGCCTTCGTCACCTCGCTCTCCTTGGCCTCAGCACACTCTAAACCCGAAAGGCGCGTGTGATGCATGCCACATGGCTGTGCCATGACTGGAGAGCTGCAGAGTCTCTCGTCTGTGCCCGGCAGCCTTCGTTGTCTCCGCGTCCCTTCTGTCGCCCTGGACACATTCGTGAGCATGCCATCGTGAGAAGGCGCCTCCGACGACACGCTGCGGAGAAGCGCCTCTTGCTTCGAAGAGTGCGGATTTTCCTGTCCACCGACGACCGTTGCAGGATTCATGCTTTGAAACTTTTTAAGCTCTGAGAGATACAAACTCGAACAATTTCTTTGTGCAAGCATCAAAGCTCAACAGCTGACTGTTTTGGAAATTCTTTGTGCGCTAAGCGGTACCTGGGGCTGCTCACGGCTTGCCTTGTTCGTCCTGAGTTGATCCAATACTTTAACACAAGTCATTGAACAAAAGCTGGGTCACGCTGGGTCTGTCTCAGCTACGATGACCACCTCAACTGCCGCAACCCTCTCTCTGCAGACTGGAGACTGCGCCGTCTGCATTGGAAGAGTTCCACCTCCATTGACCTGGCACTCCAACTGCGCATGCGACTTTGTGGTGAACGGGCTTCTTGAACAACCTGGTGCATGCTGAGCTGTCAGGCCTGCCGCGGCCTTTGGGCCTCATCAGCCACCTTCTCTGCAGCTTCGATCCGAGCCTGGCGAAGAGACCACCGTGCCGGTAAGATGCGACACCGTCCGATGCCCATGAGTCCATGAGCCTGCCGCGCTGCGGCCTCCTGCTCTCGCCGCTGTTGGCGCTTCAAGGCTTCCTGGCTTTGCGACGTCCACGTCAAGGCTTCTTGGTTCCGACACCCACGCAGTACGCAGGTCCTCCTTCAGGGCCTCCACATCATGTTGCCACATCGTTAGCCTGGATACATCATCCTCGTCCTGACAGATGAAAGTTCTCGACCACTCCTTCCTGAAGCCTCCTGATTGCTGCGCCTTGGGCGTTCGTGGAGAACGATAAGCTTCTCCCGGCTGGCCGCACGGTTTTCCATGGGAAACGCAGTTGGCCCCCATTCCTTCGGCGCTGTGCACACAATCTTGCGGTTTGTCCGCCGGTTCACAAACACCTTCGCTACCCTTGGCATCACATGCCCTCACAATTCATAACTTGGGCAATGGCAGCACCGTCTCGCGGCTGCAGTTGCGTCTCTGCTACTACGGCAGTTGTCAACCCTGCGTGGAAATCATGCTTGTTTGGCTGGCTACATGCAATCTTGCTCCAGTGCTGCAAGACCAGAAAGCATGCCGTGCTGAACAGACCTTGGCTAGAGCTCGCTACAGTTCCATGCTGTGGCCTGGAAGCCTGCTTTCCTCTGAGAGCCGAGCAACGATCAAGTCGACATGTGCTCCTTGCTTGTGCCTTTAGCTTATGATGGCCTTAAGATAGTCAACATCGTGGCGAACATCCAAGCACACCAAAACACTCACACACACACACACTGACACACTGTCTGCGTATCTGCAGTTGTTAAGAACACTACGCACATAATTACGTATGTGCGTACATGCACACTTACCTGCTTGCACGCATGCATGCATTCTTTTGCCGGTGAACACACTTGTTTCTAAGTGCTCACACCGAGACATACATGATTCCGTGAATGCATGCATACATACCTACCTATCTACCTAATTAAGCAGGTTCGCGGCAAGCATGCAACACATGCACAGGTGTAACACATATACAACCCATTGTAGTGTAAGTACGGTAACATTACAGAGCAGTTGAAGAGTACAATATACAACATTACAGGCCATTATGGAACGTACCGTAACATGACATTGCGAACATTACATAGCACCAATACTCTCTCGTTGCACTATATGGCAGGACACCACATGATACAACATATCACAGCATAACATGACTTGACATCACATGACACACAAAGGCAAGCCACAGAACGAAAAATAAAAACAAAAGCACACAAGCAAACGCAAAGACATGTATAGATATAGGTATAGGTATAGATATAGATATATACATACACATACATGAATACTTGGTTACTTACAGACTTACATCATAGATACACACACGTACACACAAAGCATGTTATCGCAGCATGCGACTGGAAATGTACCAATTACACGTGTGCTGATAGTTCGTATGCCATGATGCGGGTGGGTGGCTTTTGTTGCAGAGATATCCCTGCAATTGTCCCTCGAAACTGGCTCCCCGGTTCGCAGGACAACTAGTATCACAGATCTTGCCTGATCCGTGGTCCCGGCTCTAGAATTCACTAGATACCTCCTCCGCACCGCCTAGTTAGCGTGCAGGCAAAACAACCCCGCATTGCATCGTGTTCAGGCCTGATGACGAAGATCTCTGACGAATCACTGAACTGCGCGCCCTTCGTATTTTGAATAGTTAATGGCAACACGATCATCTGGCCTGAACCAGCAATGCCCTTCGCCGATGCAGCAAAGAAGGCCCGGCCATCCCCGGCTTGAATGCTGAACACTAAGGGACCGTTGCATTGCTTTGCACTACCTTGATAGCAGCGAGGAGGCTCTATGGCAATCTCTAGCTACCCCGCTCACTGCATTGGTTGACAGCTTGTGGTGTGGCCAAGCGACCAGGAGCACCAGTCTACGCACCACAAGCCTTAGTTTCCAGCCACGCAGCGGAAGGCAATCGGGCAAGAGTGACAGCAAACATCAATCATCGGTTGCAAGCGACCGACTTAATGAAGGGCTTGATGGTCCGGCCCTTACCTGCGAGATCATTCATGACTATGTGCTCTTCTACCAGTAGGGACTGTCTTGCAGGTTGTAAGCCGGGACATCACTCACCCCTCACTTAGCAGGCCATGCATGCTGTCAGAAACACCTCGACTTCCAAAGCTGATTCGACACTCCCAAGTTCATCTGCTTTACAAGAAGACTCTCATGGACATATGTGCGACGAGGTTTCGGTTGGCGCCAGCTTGAGCCGTTGTTTCGGCTGAATAAGAAGAAAGATTCCCACTCCCGACACTCAGGCAGCATCAAAGAAGCATCGAAACTGGAGCACCGTACATACCGTAGTACGTAGTACGCTTACCGAGGTCCTGCAAGACTGCGAACGAAAACATCGCAACAATACCCTGTGGACATCGAGCCTGGAACTGAAGCTTTCTTGGCCTCCTTCCGTGGGGCTGAAGCGGCCTTCTTGGACTTGGAAGTGCTTGAGCCGCTGGAGCCTGGGCAAGTCAGAGCAGCCAATGGAAGTTCAGCATGTCTCAAGTCTCAAGTTCTGGATTCAAGCACATGGGCCCCCGAAAGCAAAGGAAAGAAATGGCTCAGCTGCTTCAAAACAATCCGCGATTCGTAGTCTGCCGGCCCTCGTCGGTGTCGTCATCGTCTTCGCTCTCTTCTGCCGTAGCTCCTCTCCACCTGCTTAGCTTCTCAGCTGCAGCAAAACCAGAAAAACTCCAGGCCACATGATACCTCTCCCCGTCCCTGAATGGAAAATCTACCGAAATCAAGCACCTCAGGATGACTTCGTTCTTCCTCTTGGGGTGCTTGTAAAAGGATCCTCGCCACAGAGCAACAGTGCAGGCTGAGCTCTACATCCTCGCATGCTGTCGCATACATGTCATGTCTGGCGCTTGCTTTCAGGGCCTGGGGGCCCCGAGCCGTGACGCTTAATGCAAGAGCCTGTCCTGGCCATTTCTTTTTCAAGATGTCAATGTTGCGCTGCTCCTTCCGGTAAGGTGCAAGTTTCGACCTGCTGCGTGGACATGTGTGGACATTCCTCGTGTGCAGGTGCAAGCCAGCAGCCATGTCAGTCCTCCACTCCTTTCGAGTCGCGTGTCGCGACAGCACCACCACCTAAGGCAATTTCACCGGCATCACCCAACATCTACTCGCTAGAGGGTGAGGGCGGCGGTGGGTGAGAGTGAGGTTGATAGTGAGGGTGAGAGTGATGAGTAGAAGAGTGACGGTGAGGGTCAGTGACGGAGAGAGTGAGAGTGAGAGTGAGGGTGAGAGCGATGGTGAGGATGGGAGTCCAGCACGATCACGTGCTGCACTGCAGTCCTACACTTAGACATGCACTCGCTACTGGGATTACTCCATAAAGCTTCAAAAGATCTGACAGAGATGTTGCCTCTCATGTGTTTTTCCGTAGCTTGGACGCAGACAGTTGCTGTAGTGCTTGACGGTCAGGGTCATGCGGTTGCACCGAAGAACACTGCCATGAGCCTGCATAGGCTACCACGGCAAAGACCATGCCAAGTGAACACATGCTCTCTGCAACTCAAACCACAAAGAATCGTGAAAAAAACGCGCCTTCAAATGCGCACATGTGAAATCATAGTCTTCCTGCATGCCACTCTCCCCTCATGTGGCAAAGTCTCTTTGCAAACGATCCCTGCCAACAAGCCAGATAAGGAGGTTCTCGGAACCTCTGTGCATGCTGTCCTTCAGCTTCATGTTCTCATCGAACCGCACCGAGGAGCCCTTGTCTACAACGAAGAAGTCGCCTTAGCTTATACTTACAAATCGGAACAAACTGTCCGGCGGTTGTCACAAGCGATGCTGCTCCAGATTGAACTGGAGCCCCTGTAGCAGAGTTGGGCGTTTGCAACCAGGGCTCCCAGAATAAAGTGGTGATCGACAAACTCAGGACCTGCCGCCGACAAACAACGCGCGGTGCAACCGTGAGAAGGTCTGAGCCTGCAAATGTGCGTGCGCAGCTCCCCAGCATGTACACACCTGCGCTTGGATCTGCTACATCAGCTGAACGCTGAAACACCCTGGGAGCGTTTGAGTGGCAACACCTCCCAGCTTTGGCTTATCTGGTGAAGCACGCATCTTTGCGAGGATGAAGCGGGCAGCTGCCACCGGCGTCCTGGGTTCCAACGACAAGCCGGTCATACTGTCTTGCACCACCTATAGCAGCCCTCCCTCCCACTTGCGATAGATCAATAGATGAGAGGTTTTGTGGGACCTGCTTGCAGGGAGATCGACACGGCATAGGACATGCAACAGCGCAGGGGCGCAACAACTGTGTATGCACCTGTCAAATGTCAAACGGCGGAGCATGGCGGAGCTCTTCCAGTTGAAACTTCTGAGACAGATTCTGTGGCCGAGAAAACCCACATATTCACTGCTTTCATATCAAGGCGCTAGCGACGGATAAAGGTTAATAGCCACAACATGAAAGCATCTTCTATTCTGCCATAGCTTCACAATAAATCGCTGTGCCATGGCATGAGCCTTGTTCTTCGAATCATCCGTCTTGTCGCTGGCTCTCCTTTGGACAGTGTCAAGCAACATCAGGCAAATCCAACGGTGGGGCCTCATCAATTACCACGAACCACCTCCATTGGCGAAGAAGCGTCTCACCATGACGGTATTCCCAAGCCGCGATGTCGTCCGACATCTGGACGCAGACCTTTTTTCCTTGGAGATCAGATTGGCATAAACTGGAGGAGACACTCGTGGGGAATGGCTTTAAGCCCAAAGGCTGGCCGCGGCATCTTCGAGTGCTTTGTTGCGGGATGGCGTGAGCTTGCCGCCGACGACGGCCTTCAGGCCAAGGGCCTTGTAGTCCTCCAAACACACAGATCATCAGTATCAGCGGTTGCCTCGAACTCGGGCCTCCAAGCTTTCTGCATCGACATACCAAGTCGGTGTGATGCCGGCCTCCTCCAAACAGAATCGCAGCAAGAACTGTTAGTCTTCACCTCACACGATGGCTCCTGGAGCTGTGTCTGCACAGCAACGATGTCCCGCACGCCCTCAAGTTTGGTGGCACGCCGAGCAGAGACGACGCAGAAGTGAAATTCCTCCTTGGACGGAAGACACCTGGCGCCAGGCGGCAAGGCGGCTGCTCTTCTGCAAAGTGGGAGCCTCGACTTGATAAGCCCCGTACTTCTTCTGGGTCGCCGAGAGTAACCGGAAAAAGTCCGAGTCTTTGTCCTCGGGGTCAGCTCGTTCCGAGCGGGCAGTCTCTTCCGCATCGGATGTCTGCCAAGCAGCTGCGCCGATGAACGACTTCGTGCCCCCTTTGTTTACTTCGCGTA